AGAGTGCCATTCATTGACATTTCGAAGGCGCCAAGCCGCAGGAGCCGGGTGGCGGCTAACATGTGCTCCCATGGCTTGGCGATCCCCTTAGGTCAGTGAATGGTGCTGTGCCCGGCTGGAAAGGGGGGTTGCCAGGGGACTGCTCGTGAGCGTGGTCACTTCATGGATGCTGTGTAGTGCTGCTGCGACAGCGCAACACAGCTGTTTGACCCTGAGGCTGTGCCTGGCTCTTTGGGAGCCTGCTCGCAAGAGAGCAGCCACCCAGCAACCCCAAAACAATAAGCCCTCCCCTGATAATAAGGCCCAAGCCATATTTTGTGGGTCAAAAGAAAATAAGACCCTGTCTTATTTTCGGGGAAACACGGTATGTACACTGGGAGCTTATGCCCCAGAGACAAATTCCTTGTGTGTCCAATCACACTTGGCCAATAAAGAATTCTAAATATAACTTCAGAGCCTAAATAGCATTAACGCTACTGCATAGGAAGCTAGATTCAAACCTCTGCCAACTATGATGTTTCAAAATACCCACAGATCACAAACCCAGCCTCAACTAGACGGATGGCTTTAAATTCAGAAGTAAGCTAGAACGTTAAATCCTGTGTCTGCATACACGTCTAAACATGGACAGCACATGACATCAAAATAGATTACTGCTTACCTGTTCATCTATACACCTGAACTGCCAGGACCAAGCAGAATTGTAAAGGAAAGGTCTCAGATCAAAGCGATTATCATCAGGACTGTAGTTGGCAGCATGATAGGAGGGAGTAAGGGTAGTCATTTTATGTCGGTTGATTGAATACATTTGAAAGAAATGCTTAACTTTTGATGCCACCTGGTGAACAAAATGCAGTATTTCAGGGACTCAAAAAGACCAAAAATTCAAACCCCACCCCCATAGAAACATCATATAGAATTAGTCTATAACTAAGATTCAAAGGTTGCAATCCTACATTTAAGCATGGTCAATCTTACTGATTTCTTTCAGCATTATCAACAGGAATACTCAAAGCAAAACGGGGTGCCACCAGAACTGCATTTAGGTGAGATGTGTTGGGCAGTTTCCCCAAGACACACACTGAACCCTGGAATTCTCCTGAATGAAACTGCAGCACTTACTGATTAAGAATAGTCTATAATTGAAGACATCATAACCGGGAAATGATTCAGACATTATCATTATCATCAAATCATGATTGCCAAATTCAAATTTATATTTTGACGGTCCCAGTGTATAAGCTAAGGCTTAGTGCTGCTTGTATAGATGTAGGTCATGGACATTTATTGTTTACCTCTCTTGGAGAACATATCTCTTTCCACATTGTGACCAGTTTACAGAACATGGTATAAGGTCCGGCCTTAGCTATCTTCCTTAGTTTACCATAGACTGAGAGTTCAGCATACGTCATACCCATGTCTACCTAACATTTCATACGCAGCACAAAAAGAAAAGAAATAGAGAAACCAGATGAATATAAGAATCATACATTCTTCAAGAGCCACCCATCATTGAATTGGAACTATAGTTAATCTAGATTTCTCTGAACTGGGGGGAAAATAATATTTAACTTGATGAAAATACAATACCATAGTTATATCATTTCATTATATTAAAACCCACAATTCTGTTCTAATGTCTAATTAATTATAAGTCAGAAGCAGTTTTGGAGTGATCTGGGTGTGTGTGTGCAGATTTCTAACTACTATCAGCAAAATTCCTTATTTTTTGTGAAAGGGGGTTACTAAAAAGTATTTTGCTAATTAGGAATAGTGAAGCTCTGGTAGATTTTTGGCAATCTGGACTCTAAGTTCTTCAATATATGTTCATTATAACTTATATATAGTCCTCGACTTACAACAGTTAATTTAGTGACTGTTCAAAGTTACAAGGGCACTGAAAAAAATGGCTATTGACTGTTTTTCACATGATCATTGAGCCTCCTTATAGTCAAGTGATCAAAATTCAGATGCTTGGCAACTGACTCTATTTATGATTGTTGCAGTATCCCAGGACCATGTGATCCCTTTTACAATGTTCAATCTAAGTCAATGAGGAAACCAGATTCACTTAACAACTGGCAAGATAGATTTTGGAGCAAAACTCACTTAACAAATGTCTCACTTAGCAACAAAACTTTTGGGTTCAACTGAATCATAAGTCGAGGACTACCTGTACTATTACAGAAGACATGCGATCCTGCAGCAGAAATATCTTAACAGGAAAAATACACAATTGGCTAATGTATGCCGAGTTTCATATGATGCCTAAATCACAAAAGTCAGATTTTCTTGAATTTTGATGAAGATTAAGAGTCTGCATGAACAAGAAGCTACAAATCAAAAGTATGGGCTTACAAGATGGTAGTAGTCACTGTGCTTTTACCTCATCCATTTGAGTAACATTTCCTTTCTGCAGTGGCTCCAACTCCGCTGTTGGGGGTGCTGATATAATACTGTGTACAAGTAAAATGAAATGAATCAAATTAATCTATAGTAACACATTACTATTACTATGAACATGTTCCATCTCAACCAAAGCAATTATTAAGTGGGGCTACATCTTTTGTCTGCCTCATGCTACGTTTCTATTCAAGTACAAGCACAACATTGCCTGACTACTTACAGGTGAATGCACAAATTTGGGCAAACTGTATGTTTCACTGAATCCCAACCCTGTTTCCCTGAAAATAAGACCTCCCCGGATAATAAGCCCAATCGGGCTTTTGAGTGCATGTACTAAAATAAGCCCTCACCCGAAAATATGCCCTCCATTCATGAGGTGACCATGCTCGCCGCCTACTGCAACTCAAAAATAAGACCTCCCTGAAAATAAGACCAAGTGCTTATTTCAGGGGTCAAAAGAAAATAAGATCCTGTCTAATTTTCAGGGAAACACGGTAAGTGGAAACTGATCTTTAGCAATATAAAAGTTTGAGGACTTATGAATACCATTCCAAAATCTTTTTCTTTCTCAACTGAAAATACTTCATGGTAGATTGGAAGGTAAATATCTGAACTGTTGTTTTGCTGAAATAACCAGCTTATTTTCAGATTCATTATTTCATTGATTATTTCATGAACTGAAAGTATTCAGACATAATTATAGTACATACTTTTAGAGGGGGGCGGGGAGAATGAAACATTTGAAGAAAAGATCACCTTTTCACCAAACATGAAACCTGAGCATGGTTCTATGGTAATTTGGAATTGTGTGTAAACAGTGGCATTTGAAAAATTGTGTGGGTAATAGGAATGGATTTAGTTAAATATCAACATATCCCAGAAGCTCACATCCCAGTCAATAAAGAACATAAAACTGGAAAGAGGCTAGATATTTCAGCAAGACAATTATCTGAAATGTTCTTCCAGATTAACTTGTATTACTTATAGGCAAGTAAGAAAATGGCCTCCACACTTGTATCAGGAAACAAACAATCTGACTAGGGGTGCAAGACTATTACATACAACTTGTATGTATTAATAAAATTTGTATTGTATTAATAAAATGGCTCAATGTTAAGAAAGTCAGTATGACAAAACTTTATTAGCCAGCAAAACCGTATTTGATATAATCATACTTTAAAGGAACTATTACTCATTGATATTCAGAATTTAGTTCCAATTCTATCAAGTCCTAGTTAAGATCAAATTCTGAAGCATTAAGTAATCCTAGGAAAGCCAAGGGGGAAGAAAGCATCAAGATTCCAGATCATTTTATACCGGCACAGGCTGGAATAAGCTTCACTCTACTTACTCTCTACTTACCTTTTGAGGGATGTTAGCTGAAAATTCTCAATGCAATATTGCATAAAGCATTTCAAATCTGTTTTGCTAATTCCACCAATAGGGTTGATGTCAGCACTGGAACAATCATATTTTGTGAAATATCCTCGAAGGCTAAGAAGGAAATATTTTTTATTTATTTTCTATAGGTCTAACAATATATGTGTGTGTATATATATGTATGTATATATATATATATATATATGTATGTATGTGTATATAAATACATTCATCGAGAATCAAAAGATACAACACTTAGTGATAGTCAATGTTACTAATAAGCTATCAAATCATACTAGGAAACGAATAAAACAATATAAATTGAAAGATACAAGCAACATGGTTATAATCATAAGTAGGAGGAGATAGAGCGAAGCTTATTCCAGCCTGTGCCGGTATAAAAT